GACTCTGTCCCCTGAGCCAAACCAGCTAGGGCAAGATACTTTTTCTTTCTGAGGTCATTGATTCATTTATTTTACACTGCACAGTTAATTGAAAGCTCAATACTTCTTATCTGTTTTAACACTCTAGATGCTGGGCAGCAACCTTATTTCAAAGTACCAGTATGGAGAAAGGATAACAAGACAGTTTTTGTTCTAGAACAGTATACAGTCAAACTGTATATTATATGACTTTCAATAATATCAAAAACAAAAGTTGTATGTGAGTTTATCCCTCTGAATTGGGTTGATTCCAATATCTATGCTGGTCACAAGCATGTTCTAGCTCACCACAGAAAACTGTATCTAGTCATAAGTAATTATTGAACAAGAGTTCATCCTGCTTAAATTATAGAAAAAGGATTTGCAACAAGACAGGGCAGCAGTGAGTTCTGTAGACAGAAGGCTTCCTACTACCAAATAATCACGTCACTAATTCAGTCACAAGAAAAATGTACTATTCAACACACTTATAGAAATAAAACATATTGCTCTAGTTTGTATAACAATGTCAGATGTTAGATGGTATTCTTTTATAAAAGCAAACAGCAAAAACAATGGGACAATTTAAGAGTTAACCCAATTTATAGGAGTTTCTGTTGTGCTGTGTCTTTAAATTCAGATTATTCCTTCTCTTTTTGTTGGCATTTTGTGGTAATACATTACACCTCTTAGCACAGGCAACTGCGTCCACTACTTAGACTCAACCCAGATTTAATATTTTTAAAATATTGTTAATATTCTTCAGGGGCCATATCTAATCAACTTTCTATTTGGTGCTGTACACACATTTGGCATTCAGAATAATAAGTACGTATTGGTGCAAAGATGGCTCACTGATAGTAAGTTACATGACAAAGATTCATCAGGATCTTGAGACTAGTTCAAATCCAAAGTCTTATTATATAAGAAATCTGGAAACTGTTTTCAAGTAACACTAACCAAAGAAACTCTGTCTATTAAAACAACTTAAATACTATAGAACTATATACCTTGACTGGTGGTGTAGAACTTGGGGAAGGAGTCCGCAGGCTGGTTTCTTGACTATTATATGAAGGGCTATCAGTTAGGTTCAGATAGAGCTCATCATCATTGGTGAAATTTCCCTGACTACCCACTCCTGGAGAGATACAGATTACTATGGCACTGGTATTATCTGCTCGAAGCATGCGCTGCCTCCAGCGGCCTAGTGCTCGATTCACAAGCATTTTGGCACAAGATTGTCCATGCTCACCACCCTATATTTAAAAGAAGGAGACAGAAGTCAACCACTCAAATTTAGTCACCACTACACATGTATCAAATTAAAAATTTGATGTTCAATATGACCTAAACTAAATTTTCAAAATTTCAAACATTATCCATAGATCCTAAAACTATGTCAAAATCATACTATTCTAAATTTTCAAAAAATAATAAAATAAAGCTTATTCTGTGGTTAAATTTCACCTGTATTCTTATCTTTTTAGTAGCAAGAAATGTGGGAAGAAAAGTTACATATAGTTATTAAGAAAAGTTATATAGAAGTTATCTGAAAAGCAAAGTAAACATCAAATTATTATAGATAAACAATTCACAAATGAAATAAGTATGACAAAAAAATCACAAAAAAACTCATTGTAAAGGGCCAATTTCCTCAAAAATAAGAGCTTCTGAAAATCAAAGACAATGACCCAAAATAAAATTGTCAAAGAATATGAAAAAAATTCAGAGACAAGGAAATATAAATGACCCTTAAACATATATTTTAAAATGGTCAGTGTCATGCATAGGAGAAAAAAAGCAACACAATAAGTTGTTATGGTATAGATATAAAAACAAATCAACAAAGAGTAAAATTAAAAACTTAAATAACCTCATGTTATGCAAATAAATGGTTTGGAAGAAAACTTTCAGCGTCATACATGGATTCAATCATTGCTAAGTTTCAGAGAACAGAAATGAAAATGATGTGCTCCAGAAAATAGGGCTACATGTCTTCAAAAGTACCCCTAGACATAACTGAATTATGAAAATGAGTAGAATTGGTTGAAATGGAAATACATCATGAACTACAAATGGAAACATATTTTAATGTTATTTTATGTAACCTAATAAAATATATTAACATACTCTAAGTACAAACATAGTAATGTATTATACTATAATGTATACTATATGATGTACTATCTAGTTTTTTAAGCATTACATATAAAATATTTATATTATCTATAATCTACACTAATAAAAGAGAAACATGGTAATTGGCATACGACCGCTACCCTTTTCATTGGCTAATCAGGGCAATATGCAAATTAACTGCCAACTAAGATGGCAGTTAACTGCCAACAAGATGGCGGTTAATTTGCATATGTAGGCACA